GAGTTAGAATATCTTACAAAGAACATAGACGTCACGAGTCCTGAATAGAAGAACCTCCATGTAGATTACCTACCAGGTCTACATGAGGTTCTGATCGGAACTTCGGAATTCTCGTGAACGTGCTCAATAATCTTAATCTTATAATTTAATTTTCATACACACTTAAACACCTACTACTAAGAGTACACGTAATCTCGTGCATCGTGCATCGTGCGAAGTAGTCTATTTCTGATATCATAGACCTCTTATGATCCTCGGACCTCTTACTACGATCCTTGGACCTCTTACGACKGATCCTATGATACATACATAGGAAGCGTACCTTACGATAGGTACGTAGGAATGGTATGTCCCTTCATTCCCTCTCATCGAGGCGTCGTACGTACGTATACTTCCGATACTGTACGTACGTATCCGTTGCAGAGTGCCCAGAATGGATCCGTGCACTGTGGGGGACAAAGAAAAGAAAATATATGAGCAAAATAAAGGAACAGTGGTGAATTTTCAAGGAGTTAACAGCCCAAGTGGATCCGGAAGATATCTTCTATTTGGAGCCAGAACTATATGAGTGCTTACTCAATTTACCACCAGTATCAGAGATGGAAAATCCTATAACAAATGCAAGCCTTTACACTTATCAGCTCACGGATCCACAGTGTCAACACCTACTTGAAGCTGATCCAAAACGTTATGTTAAGAGAAAGATAGGCACCTTCGAGTTACTCACAGTAACCATGAATGATAATAACTGGACAATCTACTTGCCCGATGGCCTGGTAGACAGCACCCTCAGATGGTATCATCTCCTATTGGGTCACTGTGGTAGTACAAGGCTTTATGAAACCATCAGTGCCAGATTTTATGCTCCATGACTCAGCCTAAAATGCAAGCGGTATCAGTGCCCAGATGAGTGCCACAGATTCAAGCAACAAGGACAGGGGCATGGCTTATTACCACCTTGAGAAGCTCAGCTTGTTCCTGGGAATGAAGTATGTGTGGATTTGATAGGCCCCTGGAAGATACTCCTCCCAGATGAGACTGAATTGGTGATTAATCCCCTCACTTGCATCAATCCAGTCACTAACATATTGGAAATAATCAGAATCAATAACAAATCAAGTGAGCATGTTGCAGAGCAATTTGCCATCTGTTGGCTGCCACGTCATCCCAGACCCAACAGATGTATTCACAATAATGGTGCAGAATTCATTGGAAACCCATTCAAACAGCTCTTGAACCAATATGGAATAAAGAGCGTTCAAACTACTGTAAAGAATCCACAGGCAAATGCAGTGTGTGAAAGAGTTCACCAGACAATTGCCAATGTTCTACGGGCTACGCTTCATACCAAGCCCCTAGAGGAAACTGAGTTTGATGAAGATCAACTGATTGACAATGCGCTTGCCTCAGCAATGCATGCGACCAGATGTGCAGTGAATGCAGCAGTGAAGACATCACCAGGAGCTCTGGTCTTCAACCATGACATGGTTATGGATATCCCACTGACTGCTAATTTAAATCTTATCAGGGACAAAAGACAACACCAGATAGATGAGAATCTCAGAAGAGAAAATGCTTGCAGAATACACTTCAAATATCAGGTCGGACAACAGGCCTACATTAAATTCTATGAACCAGACAAGCTGTCCCAAGATTACACGGCCCTTATCCTATAGTGGAAATCAACACCAATGGAACTGTGGTGTTGCAAAGGAGTGACAATGTATGTGAGACTGTCAACATTTGGAAGCTTGTCCCATATAAGGGAGTTGCCAATGCCACTCCTGAAGACCAGGCAACAGAGGAGGAACCCCCTGTTGAAAATATTGAGGATATGATTGCTACAGTTTAGTAGTAATACTGAAGGGAGCATTCCTGTGAGGGATAATGCAACGGATGCGTACGTACTGTATTGGAAATATATGAACGTACTGTATTTGGAAGTATATGTACGTACTGTGTTGGAAGCATAAGTACATACAATGCTCCCATTAGAATGGACGGACATACCATTCCTACCTACATATCATAGTGTACTATTCATATATATAGATCATACAATCCATCATATTGAGGATCATAAGAGGTCCAAGATACAAGGTACAAGAATACCTCGCAAAGAAGAGAGATGTCACGAGTCCAGCATAGAAGAACCTTAATGTAGATTCAGTACCAGATCTACATGAGGATCTGATCAGAACTTCGGAACTCTGGTGAACGCGCTTGATAATCTTAATCTTATAATTTTCAAATTTCGTACACCAAAACATACCTAGAGTACACATATCTCATGTAATACAGTATGCATGTAGTACGTATGTATGTATCCGTTGCAGGTCCCTTGATGTGGTTGTGTTAATGATTTTTTTTTCGAGTTTTTGGTGCGCAGAGAAATCAACAAGCCAAAAATAGTAGTTCTCTTCAAAATTCACATGTGAATGTGCACATGGTTGTGAGGAGAAAAGAAAACTCTTTCCGACTAATGGATTTTCTTGATCTCTGATTGGCGCTTTGCATTGCTAGCAATAACAAGCAAGCAAAGCTTTTGCTGCTCACTAAAAATGGCTCGCAAACGGTTAACTCATAATCTGTTACTGTATCGGACTCGATATTTCACACCACAACCTTGTATTGTACGTACGTAACTTGTACTCTTGCGCGCGTCAACATGCTAAAATCCAGCAACTGGTCGATTACGAGTACGAGTACACATACGTTAATGAAATCAGGGGTCATAATTTAGAGGGGAGCGCATCGAATCGAAACTCATATTCCACCTTCGGTCCAAATTTCCAAAAAGTCACACAAGGATTTTGTATAAATCTCATTTTTACTGCATAATACTAGTAAAACTATCCAACCTTTAAGCAGTTACAGCTTTATCAAAAATACTACTATTTTAATTTTTGAGTAGCCAGTCTAGTCCAGTTTTTTATGCTGATTCTGAATATACCATTTTGTCGGATATCAAATTGATATTTGTGGTACTATTTTACTATTGAAAAATGAACATAATTTTCCACAGTACTAGTAGTAGTAGTAGCAGTAGTAGCTGGTAGTAGTAGTACTAGTAGTAGTAGTACTACTACTACTACTTCCTCTGTCCACCACATCATACTAGCTACACAACAATAAACCATTTTGATGATACAACAACTACTACTACTTCTACTAGTACTACTAGTGTTAATAGGAGACGAGGCAGTGAGCTCTAGTACTACTACTACTAGTACTACTACTACTTCTACTAGTAGTAGTAGTAGTAGTAGTAGTAGTAGTAGTAGTAATAGCGGTAGTAGTAGTAGTAGTAGTACTCTATTACCACTACTACTAGTAGTAGTGACTACTACTACTACTAGTAGTACTACTACTACTACCACTAGAGTAGTAGTACTAGTATTACTACTAGTAGTAGTAGTGGTGGTGGTGGTAATAGAGTAGTAGTACTACTACTAGTAGTACTGTGGAAAATTATGTTCATTTTTCAATAGTAAAATAGTACCACAAATATCAATTTGATATCCGACAAAATGGTATATTCAGAATCAGCATAAAAAACTGGACTAGACTGGCTACTCAAAAATTAAAATAGTAGTATTTTTGATAAAGCTGTAACTGCTTAAAGGTTGGATAGTTTTACTAGTATTATGCAGTAAAAATGAGATAAAAAAAAATCCTTGTGTGACTTTTTGGAAATTTGGACCGAAGGTGGAATATGAGTTTCTCTTTTTTTCTCTCGCACTTCGTTATGCACAAAAAATTCGATGCGCTCCCCTCTAAATTATGACCCCTGAATGAAATAGGGTACGGCACTACTAAAAAAGGAGTAGAAAAGGCAAGCGCACCGAAAAGCTACGCTGCGCCGTTCCTGATCGAACTACAGGCCCATCCAACAACGGGGCGACTACGAAGGACTACTCGTAACATAGATTACAGCTTGTAAGGTCAGTATGAAGCACGAAAAAAAGTCGCCCTTTTTTTGTCTCTCGTGTACGCTACGAGTACAGTACAGTACAGTACAGTACAGTACAGTACAGTACAGTACAGTACAGTACAGTACAGTACAGTACAGTACAGTACAGTACAGTACAGTACNGCCAACATTATGGTCACCTTCGTTGTAGGCATATTCGTTCAATTGCTGTTCATCGAACCATTCTTCTTGTTCGTCGAAATAATACTTCACTTTTCGAGAGAGAACATCTATGCCCTTTTCTACATCAAAGACCAAGCGAGGTTCTGTCATGACTCGAGCAACGTACCACTCTCCGTCATCGAACAATCTTCGCACCTGATAACCAATCTTAAAGGCATTTATTGGAATCCATGGCGTTTTCTTTGAGGGAGGAATCGCTGTCTCTGCTTCTTCGTTTTTGTTGGTAAGACTTTCTTTTTGGCTAGGCGTCGTATTAGGCATCTTGCAGTACGATGAAATCAGTGTGATCTAGGAAAGGTGCATACAGGTTGTAATCAAGCAAATTGGTTACAGTATTGATCAATGAGAACATCATTGCTTATTCAAAGAATAATTGACACCGATAATCTAATTCTGATTTTCTTGTACCGTAAAATACGAACTAATGGAATGTACCGGTACGAGTACCAAGTACTTGTACCGGTAGATCGATTTTTGACATTGAAAATCAAGCCCGTCTTGATTTCATACCGTACGGTACGTACCGAACGAGTTACTCGGACGAGGTACGAGTATCTTTAAGAATCATGGTGATGTAGTATTACTGTAGGTACGTACGTACAGTACTCGTATTCAGTACAGTACAGTACAGTACAGTACAGTACAGTACAGTACAGTACAGTGCAGTACAGTACAGTACAGTACAGTACAGTACAGTACAGTACAGTACAGTACAGTACAGTACAGTACAGTACAGTACAGTACAGTACAGTACAGTACTATCGCACCCTACGAGTTAATAACCTACGCTACAGGGCTCTGTGGAGTTCGGTCCCTCACGATGCTCTACCGGTACGAACCGTACCGTACCGTGCCGTAATTGCCTTAGGCTGTGCTGTTCATTGATGCCCGAAACTTTTCCATCTGAAAGTATCGTTGTGGCAACAATTCTGGCTACAGATTAAGCGTCAGCGTTGTTTTCCAATTCGAACGCTATATCGCCAGGAGCGCAAAGCCACCTTAACTAAGCAACAGGGACAACCGACTACAACAAAGAGTCAAGTGGTTGCTCACCCGTAGTTGTTGTCGTTACTGCTGTTGTTTCGAACGCCTGGTTTCCATACTTGCCTCCTAGCTAGGTGGCTAGCTATCTGGCAGCTGATACGAATTTAAAATCTGTTCCGACGAAACAGTTTCTCAGTTTTTTGCGTTCGTTGTCAACCATTCGTAGTTACAAATTGTGGCTACTCGGAAGAAGAACAGATTCATCATTATTTGAGCCTGGCTAGTGGTGGAAGACACAGACATAGTACAGACAAAAAGTGGAATTTGTTTATTATCGTAGAGGAACGGAGCAGCAGAAACAGGAGTAGAACCAGACAAGTAACAGATTGAATTCTTGGAAGTCAAGTGTGGCACGTATCCGCACCGACCTCCACTTTATCGCAATGAACACCAAGGACTTCTACTACTCGTGGCATCTCTCCCTGCGAGTGGATCGCCCGGTGGAAGGATGCAACATGAGACCACACTGCTACATGTACGGGAAGAAACTCGACGACCGGGAGGCAGACAAACCTCTGCCCTCCCACTCCAAAAAGATGCGAGAGCCTCCTCCCGACCACGAATTCAGCTACCGCTGGTTTAGGGGACCGCGCAGCACTCCCTGTGCCTTTGAACACTGCACCCGGCGCACATCGTTCAGTCCCCACGACTGGTCCAAGCATGCTCTCGGGGGATCGGGTTGCTCTCTACAGTGCGTCTCGACACAATCCAGTCTCTTCCGGTGCACCTTTTGCAATTCAAAGTGTTTCATAGAAGCATGGAAGACGCAGCACACGGTACCCAGAGATAGTCGGGGTACACCCATGAGGAAGAGAGTTGGATCGATGGATAGCATGGATGACGATTTGCGTTCTGTTGGATCCATTGGAAGCTCCGATCGGACCAATGGGAGCAACGGAGGATCCAAGTCACCAGCAAACTTCTCGGACACGAGTGGAAGCAACTATTCTGTTGGCAACACGGGAGGACAAAACCGGCAACCACCAGGAACCCCACGGGGGTATATGGGAAGCTACAACAACGGTGCTCCCGGTAGTTCGGCTCAGTGCAACAACAACGGAGAAGAAGAGTGGATTGAGATTAGCAGGGATGGTTTCTATGTTCCCGGAGCCGATGATGTTGGGCGAAAACTTAAATTAGAGGCGGCTGCCTACTCAACCGAGACGGGGGAACTCTTGATGCACAGAGTCATCAAAACGGATATTGTTCTGGCGCAAGCACCACACCCTCTTAAGAGATCGTTAGTGACGGCAAAGAACGGCGCAGGGGCGGGATCCGGAGCAAGGTTTCGAATAGTTACATACAACGTCCTGGCTGAAATCTACGCAACGCAGCAGCAGTATCCCTATTGCGATATTTGGGCACTGAATTGGGAATACAGATTTCATAATATAATGAGAGAGATTGTCGATGCTGCTCCAGACGTTGTTTGCCTACAGGAGGTACAAGCTGATCACTACGAGAATCACCTCTACGCATCCATGAGCGAGCAAGGCTTTGAGGGGGTTTACAAGCAAAAAACGCGGCAATCTATGGGTCTGGCCGGAAAAGTCGATGGATGCGCCCTGTTTTGGAGACGATCGAAGTTTCATTTGGTTGAGTCCTACAGCATTGAGTTCAATGAGCTGGCTCAGCGTCAGGCAACTCAAGTGATGGGTCTTAACCCACGCAGCGAAGAGGGAATAAATTTTCTTAATCGATTGTCCAAGGACAATGTTGCCCAACTTGTTGTTTTGGAGCTGGCCAATCCCCAGCTAGCGAGTCGCGCCAACCGAGATCCCATTAACCAGGTGTGCATAGCAAATACCCATCTCTACAGTAACAAGGAGTTCCCGGATGTCAAACTCTGGCAAGCTTGGCAGCTCTTGCAGGAGCTTGAAAATTTCATTATGAGCCGAGGAACAAGCCTCCCGCTGATGATTTGCGGTGACTTTAATTCATCACCGGACTCTGCAGTCTACGGTTTGCTGATGCAGCAAACGGTGCATCCCGGCCATCCAGATGTCAACGTAGTAACCGGAGACGACTGCCCCAACGTCTTGCCAGATGCCATGAATATTTCACATTCGTTCCAATTGGGAAGCGCCTACCAGAGTGTACTCGGAGAAGAACCACAACAAACCAATTACACTCTTAATTTCAAGGGTGTCCTAGATTACATGTGTTATTCTTTGCAAACTCTGAGACCCCTATCCGCATCACCTGTCCCCGACGAGTCGATTTTGACAAGACATGGTGATGCTTTACCATCGACGGAGTTTAGCTCCGACCACATTATGCTGATTTCCGACATGCAAATCGTAAATAATGGGGGAAGATAGGTGAATTGGTAAGGTCCGCGATAAGAACATTTGGTATGTCCCGGTAGCATACGATTATTTAAACTGGGTAGAATTGAATGGAAAAAGGGATAATTTTAAATGAAGTACTTTGTAATATTCTTATGAGCAAAAACTAAAAAAGTGTTGCGATATCTTTCGCACTTTGTAATTCAATACGACGCGGCAAAAGATGATGTAGGCGACACGTTAACTCCTGACTTCGTCCCCATGGGGTTACTGCTCTCAAAACGAATTAGTATCCACTGTACTTCCTACTTCGGATCCTCCTCCATGAGAACTTAGGTTTGTTCATATGAAAGGATTTTTTTCCTGTAAACATCCACGGTTAGGTGACTTATTCATTTCATTTACCTTTCGTAGTACTAGTACTACTATAATTCTACAACCATTTATAGTGCTTATATCAAACTCATCTTCCTAATTAATCATTGTTGGCTGTATCAATTTTCTACACTTGATAAAATATAGTATTTTCATGACAGCCCAACCTGAATAACTGGATCTAATTTGCATGTCCAACAGCAAGAACATCAACCTGGTCAACCAAATTCAGTTTCTATAATTCAGTTACTTCCACCAGCAGAATTCGTGTGTTGAAAGCCACAGACTCAAGCCTATTCTTTCAGATCTTCCTTAAGAATCATGTCGAGATGCCATGCCCCCCATATTCAGTTTGAAAATTATTTTGCAGTATTATTGCTGTCCATAGGATATCAGATTGTGGGTATGATTCATATATACAACACATATATATGTGACATGTATATATGATTCATACACACTCTACATATATGATTCACTTGATCCTATGGATCCATATGATCAACATGACTCAGTTGATTCACTAGTGTGAGTGACTTGACTCATTCGATTTTCAAACATCACTTGAACTTCATTCTAATTGGTCTTAGATTTCATAGTTTGTCAATCCTCGATGGGAGCATTGACTCACTTTTCTTCTAGCACACAATTTACATCACTATTAGATTGTCACTCCCACACTTTATGACACCCTTCCAATCAAAATTATCACCACCATGGTGATCTTTTTTTAAGGCGTGCTCTCTCCTCATCACACCACTGTACCAAACCATCTGTTCATACACCTTTGAACAACAAATTGTCATTGCACATGCAATGACAATGTCTAACACACATTGACACTACCAACAGCCATTGGATGACACAAACAAAACGTCCGTTTCAACACACTTGCCATTGTCTATGCCCAATACTCATAGTTTTGAAATTAAAATCTTCTTACAAGACACTCGTTCTTATTTTCTGGAACACATTTGACATTAACAATCCCACTATAAATTTGTAACTCCCTCTTGCACATTAAAAATAAATCCCCCACACGCACAACCGTGCATGTCACTCATATTTTTATTCCCACACTCAAGGCCGTCTCACTTTATGAGACCAACATACATTGCCATAAAACTTCCCTCCAGTAACAACTTTTCAAGCTTCTCATGAAAACTGATACTTTTACATCAGCATAAAATTATTGCTCTACACAAACATTCTATAAAATATATTTTGATCCAAATCAAAGCATCTTTTATTCCCAAATGTCTTCTTGACTATGACTTTCAAACTTCAACCCAACTTTTCAACATGACTATCACCAGAAGTGACAAGAGATCACCCCAACAAGGTAGCCATTTTTTTTTACCCAAAAATTGAGTACATCAATGTCACTTCCTTGATCATCATTCCATCCTGAACTGACCAATGAAATGAATAACGCCCACCACATGTCAATCAACTTTGAAAAATACCTCAACGCTGCTAAAGATCTATTTGAACATCATTAGAGATAAGCGCCAACATCTAATTGATGAAAATCTCAGGAGAGAGAATGCAAAAAGAATACCTTTCCAGTATCAGGTTGGACAACAAGCCTACATGAAATACTATGAACCAGACAAGCTGTCCCAAAGATTGCATGGTCCCTATCCTATTGGAAATTAATACCAACAGAACAGTCGTCTCACAAAGAAGTGAGACTGTTAACATTCAGAAGCTTGTTCCCTATAAAGGAACTGTAAATGCCAATCCCGAAGATCCAGCAACAGTAGAGGAAGAACCCCCATATATACTCTAAATGAAGATTCCCCAGCTTTATCTCCATGCAGTTCCAGTTTTATTTATGGACCAGAAGAGTTTTCTGGTCACAATGTTGTTGTTGTTGTTGTTGTTGTTGTT